GTTTCAGTGTTCAAACTGTGTTGAACAAAAAGTGTTCAAATGATCCGTAGAACATTTCCCACGTTTTTATAGAAAAAACATTCGATCCGCTCTAATAATAGCCAAATTGGTGAACTATTACAGGTAGTTCGCAAATCTCCAGAAGTTGGTTCACAATTGAAAATAAACCGATCCTTTCCTAACAACAAGACTCTATTTATATGACAGCTTAAATTGTGATGTGATTCAGTTATGAGCTTGAGAACTACCTATGTACCGTAATGGTAGRATWTGTATATMTGTATATGTATTTATTCGACATTCGCTGTGCTCAAAGTTCTTGCACCGAGATTAACTTCCGACTGAGCCTTCTACCTATCGATGGACAGCGGAGAGATTTGTACTTACTACTCACTGGATAAGAGCCTCTCCTCTTAAAATTCTCTGCTCTAACCCCTGGTAATTTTATATACAGTTAAAGTCGCTCTCCTCAAAGGGATATATGACTTTTCAGCCTAGAGGCAAATGAAGAATAATGGACTCGCCGTGAATGAGYTCTCCATACAAAGACTTSATTTTGAGCGATCAGTTTTTATCTCAGCTATATRCTATAGTGGACCRATCTGAATAGTTTATACRGAAATTGTAACACTGTCTTATCAAATAAAAAAGTTGTCTTTATCCGAACTTGATTTTGAACGTTTAGTTTGTATGACAGCTATATGTTATAATAGTCCGATTTGAAAAATTCTTTCAAGGATTATAGCCTTAGCCAGTAAGTTGTACCAAATTTCGTGATGATACCTCGTCAAAGAAAAATGTTTTCTATATAAAGACTTAATTTTGATCGTACATTTTATATGGCAGCTATATGCTATAGTCATCCGATATCGGCGATTCYGACAAATCAGCAGCTTCTTGGCGACAAAGGGACGTGTGCAAAATTTCAGATCGATATCTCCAAAATTGAGAGACTAATTCGCGTATATACAGACGGGCAAGGGTAAATCGTTCATATCATTTATAATATTATACATACATACATACTCGTATATTTTTATAGGGTTTCTTGCGTATCCTTTTGCATGTTACAAACTTCGCAAAAAACTTAATATTCTCTGATCAGGATATAAATATATATGGTAGTAAAAGAAGCGCCGATAAACTTTTGTGTTCTCTGTTCTAGTTGAATAGTGGCAAGCTACTTGCTTTCATATATTTTTACAGTTGAAGTAAGCTTTAATTTTTGCTTACTTCTTCTACATTTTTGAAATTTGTGAAGCTTCATTTACCAAGCAATCCTGATTTTCTATATTTATTTTTCTACCTTCTTCTAATGCCCTCGAATTTCTTTTTGTGGTGAATATCAGGTAGATATATTCTATATATGACACATGTCGAACCAATATGCTTTAATTTATTCAATTGATTTTCCTGTGCACGGCCTACGCTTGTGTGGACGCCCCCAAGCTTATGGTCATGCTTCTAATTTTCCACAAAATATGAACACTATCAAATTTCAAAGTTAATCAAAAGAAATCTATAGATATCTATATGTATGAAGCAAGTAGAAACATACAAGAAAAACAACAAAAAAAAAAATCAATTAATTTGTGACACTTCTAGATTTTCTTTAAAAAATATGGCATATTTRAACCATTTTCCTCATAAAATATGTCAAAGTCATAATTCTGTACGAAAGTTACATGGATGAGTGAAGAAACTCCTAAAACTCTCTATTTAAACAACAGTTAGCTTAAAAGGCGCCAAAGTTCAGAAGTCAAAAGTGGCTAGTTCGATTCATTTTCAGTATTTCTGAGTTAGAAGATACATTATGTAGGAAGAGGAAAAACCGCATACGTTGAATAGATAGGGTGTTGCCACATATCATACTTAAATATATTTTTTTGCTCGACTATTAGAATAAACTTACACTGCAGTAAACGAGATATGAGAATCTAACTCAAACTGAGTAGGCGACTAGTCTAAAAATGCAGCTGCAACTGAAACTGTGTGTATTAGAGCGGGTCGAGTTTTTTTTCTATAAAATCGCGTATCCGGGAAAGGTTCAACGGTTTACACTGAACAACTTCGTGAAGTTCAAAAAATCTGAATAATCGGTTRTATGAAAGATATTATGTTATAGTTTTACAATCTGACCGATTTCGACAAATGACGCACTTACATATTTAATTTAAATTTCATTGTGATATCTCAAAAACTAAGCAACAAATTTTTATAATCCCCAAAAAACTTCAAATTAAAAAATCGCTGGCTCGAGAGCTGTTTTAGATCCATAGTCTCTTAGGCGAAGTTGCTCAAAATGATTCGTAGAACATTTTCCGCGTACACGATTTTTCTGTGTGTTTGGCTAACTGTAAATCAACCCGCTCTAATAAGTATGTACACCAACGCCACTTACATACATTCATATGTAGAAGACACCTGGAAGGTATTTTTTAAGTTACAATTATCGTGTTTGTGTGTGTATAAAAATGTCTCGCCTCAACAAAATCTTTAGAGAATCTAAAATATATATCAGCTTAGTKTTGTTGGCAACTTACGAAGAGTAACTGACCTAAAAATGTATGGTGCAAGCTAAACTTTGTCTTCGTGATGTCTAAATTATGCATTGAAATTGCTTACAACCGCAAGCTTTGGTTAAGTGAAGAGCGAATGCACCGCGTTGCTTTGGGCGCCAACTAGTTCGACAACAATAGATTTCCCTAAAGGACAATTTTTAGGTACCACACAAAGATAAAATAGAATAAATGTACACAAGTATAGGAGGTGACACTGGTCGGTCACGCGGCGCCGTTTTGTTAATTTTATGTTGTGCCTTCGAAGCGCGCGCGTATGTGTGGCAGTAAATGACTTCTAACCTGCTATTTATCATCCTTTTTTATTGATGTCCCCAACAAAAAAAAAAAAAAAAAAACACTAACAAACAAAAAAGTCGAGTGGTTAGCAATAAAACGTGCTACGCGGCTACTCACAACGGATAAAAGA